TTTAGGAGTCTAACTTGCAAAAGCCAGACCACTGATTCATCAAACCTGCTTTCCTGCAGTCCGTGCTCTTCTGACTTATGACTATTTTGTAGTAAGTAACGAATATGCTTCGGGGACATGTATCGGAGTAAAAGTATACATTTTAATTATCCTAACATGAGAGGATTTGATCTCAATCCATCCTTTGAGGACATTCATCACATATTTTATCTGCCAAAAAAGGCTCAGGGATGAATATACACAACAAAGGCACCTAATATTGCTATAGAACCAACCAAAACACCCGCACCCACCAGCACACCCACAATCCCACATACACCAATACAACTGGGCTCCGAATGGAAAACAGCAGTAATGTGAAGTAGTGATGGCTGAAATATAAAACTCAAGTAAAGTACAGATACTCCCAAAAAATACTTAAGTACTGTAATGAAGATTATTACTTTGTTACATTTACACCACTGATTTTAACCCCTACATTTCAAACACTCACAATTCATAGCATAAAGAACAAACTGGCTTGAATCAGCAGCTGTCGTTGTGTGAAATGAATGTGTCACTGTCAGAAAAGAGGGTCCAAGGAAGTGTGGACCTGTGCCGCCCTTTTTTAATTACTCCAGCCTCCTTAGAGTCAATTAATTTCATAAGAGGGGACTCCTGGCAAGCTGCTGCAGTTGTGAGGACTCTGCAGGGGACAGCAAATGCCTGGTGACTACTGCGGAGGACCCAAACCCCACTGCATTATGTGGAATTAGTGTGTATTGATTCATCCTTTCTAGATGATGGATTTGTTCCCTTATTCATTACTTTGGAGGTCAGATAGCGGTCATGTTTTTAAAAGGGTTTCGTTTTACTGTATTTTGAGTGTGTTTCTTACTGCTATAAATGAAGTGCTCTATGAATATAGACCTAATACTTCAAGTCACTATACAGCCAATTTAACGTCCATAAAGTGACATATCTGAGTGATAAAGAACATTCAACTTTTTTATCCATCAGGGATTAATTAGACTGTGAAAGTTGTTCTCTAAATATATATATTACTAACTATATATATCATTAAGGCCAATTCAAATATTTGTATTTATTTAATTATTATTATTATTATTACTACAACTACTACTAGAGGTTAGCTAACAGTGATCTTTTAAAAATTTTGTTTTACTTTACTTAAAAAGTTAGTTTTAGTTTTACTGTACCATACTTTGTGTGTGGTTTTTGCTGCTATAAATGTAGCGCTCTGTGAATATTGACTTCATTAATAACGAATAATAGAATATTGAATAACTTCATTAAAGTAAATATGCAACTGATTTTTTTGTGCATAAAGTGACAAATATGACTATGAGTCATATTCAACATTTTTGTTTATCAATCATGAATGAACTGGATTGTGAATGGTGTTCTCTAAATTGCCAGTGGCACATTCTCTTTTTTATTTTTTTTAAATTAACATTTCTTTTAATAATCAAGGACAAAGAAAAATTTGTTGTTGTTGTGGCTATGTATATTATTATTATATTATTGCTATAGAACCAACCAAAACACCCGCACCCACCAGCACACCCACAATCCCACATACACCAATACAACTGGGCTCCGAATGGAAAACAGCAGTAATGTGAAGTAGTGATGCTCGCTCTCCTGTGCAGAGCAGACAAGAGAGCAGTGCTGGTGATGCCAGGCTCTGTCAGTATAGAGCTGGATGACAGAAGGCACAGAAGCCTGAACAGCCTGGTTGCCATGGAAGTTAAATTCTCTTTCAGCTTGCTTTCCCTGCCTCCCTCACCCTCTGTTCTTCAAAGAATGCCTCTTCTCACACACACACACACACACACACACACACACACACACATACACATACACACACACAGTCAGTAATGACAACGTGCCCATGCAAGAAACAAAATCAAGGGTTCAGTGTGCACATGCAAATGTGTAGGTTTTGTCGCTTTCACTCAGTGGTGTCACTGCATTAATTAAATAATTAAATTTAGTTTACATTTTGTTTATATATAGCACATTGCATACACAATGGTATTTCAAAGTGCTCTGCTTCTGCATCATAAAGAAAATAAGAAATAAAAGTCAAGTTTAAAATTTTTAAGAACATAAATGTGAACAGGAAAAATTAAAAACACTTTTTAAAAGAATAAAAAGAGAAAAAAGTATAAATAAATGGACATAAATTGAAACACAATAATGCAGTGCAATAATATGGAAGCTGGTTCCAGCTGTAGGTGGCATAAGAGGTGTGTTATTCTACAAGCATAACCACAATTATTTATAAATAATAAACTTTAAAATCAATTTTATATGTGACTTGAAGTCTAAAGCTAAGGTGATAAGCTCAGTTTATTTGGTTCTGTATGCAGCATTCTGTATGAGTTGCAGCTGTCTAATGTTTAAAAAAAAAATTTTTTTGGGGGGGGGGGGTCATTTACAGTAGTCCATCTTGCTGCTAATGAAAAATGAGTTGAATCCTTTGTAATGTTGACACAGCCGCTACCCCTATCAACCAGATGCCATGCCTGCTTTTATGAACTCTGTAAAACTGATGCAGATTTAGTAGTAATAACACATTTCAAGTGGCAAATGTAAAAAATAAATAAATAGGCTGTTATAGAGAGTTGATGTGTTAGAGTGTTTATGTGTTTTTTTTTTCAGGTTTATACATCCGACATTATTCTAATAAGTAGAAAACAATTAAAAAAAAATTTTTTTTCTTTTGCATAATATTTTAATAATCTGTTGGCTTTAGAAAATTTGTAATGCAAAAGCCAATAATTAAATTTGGGGAAGAAAACACAATACTATATACTATACTACATACTATATACAAACAAATATAGTTATATACTATATTTATCAGATAGTATAAATAGGTCTGTATATATATATATATATATATATATATATATAACTTATAGCTGTCTATATGGTAAATTGGGACACTTTTTGTCATTGAGATGATAGGGAAAATGCCCAATTATATACATACATACATGCATAAATGGAGGTTAGGAGGGAGTTTCATCATATTTGGGTGTATTTTGAAAGTTTGAAAACCCCTGTTCTAGTCCATAAAGCCAAACTGACATATGGACCAGCTGTTGCTTATAAAAACAGACCATATCCAACCCAAATACAAACCTACCTTAATGACAGGCCATTTGCATTATAAAATGTATGCAAAAAAAGCTGCCAAAATCATTGGCTGTCTGAACGTTCGCGTGCGTTTCCGGTGAAAGGTGCCACCCAATGGCCGTCCGTCTTTTTACCACTCGACTCGACAGCTGTGCTCTCTGACCCCAGTGGCAGCGACGCTCATTGCACTCGTTGCTCTCGGGCTCCCCCTCTTCCCACATCGAGGCTGTTCTCTCTCTCTCTCTCTCTCTCTCTCTCTCTCTCTCTCTCTCTCTCTCTCTCTCTCTCTCCTCTCT